TTTAATTTTTACTGTGAAAAGAACAAAAGGATCCTAAATATCCATAACATCAATTGAAAATGCACCAAACAAGCTAAGAAATGTTGAATAAAATTCATGGGAGCCAAGACATGTATTGCATAGCAACCATCCAACAGAAAAATATACACAGGCACATTGACAAAGATTCCATAGCTATCATTCCCTAAAAAAACGTCCTATCATTTCTGAAATTATGCTTAGGCACCTTTAAACTGCCCCACATGCCATCTAGTCACAACAAGAAAATTAAAAGGCATGGAGAAGGCAGGGAGGATATTTTCCTTATTGTCAACTTAGGAGACCTTTAAGCTAGACATATTTACATTGACAACCACATTCATATTTTATGATAACGACATAAAAAATTGTATCAATATTGTCAAGGATTACATGAAAACATACATATACTTATTTTCATGTTTGTTCAAGGAAAGCCTTAAATATTAAATTTTTGAAGCTTATAGTTAGAATGGTTACCTTTCTCCACCAATTTCTTGCATTTCTATCACCTTCAACTATCTTCAAAGCCAGGCCTTGAAGACCTGTGGTGTCCCATTTCCTCTCTGTTTCCTGGTTCCGATGCTCATTAGACCTCATAAAGGAAATGGGCTTTCCTTGCCACTGTCCAACAAAAGGACTTGTCTCCACCTTCAAGACATCAGCAGCACCGGTAACCCCAGTCCCACCATTACTCATATCTTCAACTTCCATTTCATTGGATTCCAAACAGGAAGGCAATAGAGCCACAATCTCCCCTGTTGAATTCCAGTGGCAAACCACCTCAAAACTCCCTCCTTTGGGCAGTTTGAGAACCCTGTTATCCCCAGCTTCCCAAAACAAACTCTTGTCCTTCCTCACAACGACAAATTTATACTCTATGGACTCACCCCCTTTCAATTCCGATTGACAGACCCATCCACTCTCAGTCCAATTCATGGGAACCTTGTTCTTCCAAGATCCCAATTCTTTGGTGGATCCCAAAATCACTACATGCTCACCAAACTCAACTTGATGATCCAGCCTAAAACTGAGCTCCACCTTGCCACGCCCCGATTTGGATTTCATTTTGGTCATGTTCTTCTCCTCCTGTCTGCTACCACAAGCTCATCTTATCATTGGGCATACAGATTCCTCCATAATTCTAAAATACTTACTAAACTGACTCTTGTAGGTTTTCATCTCTTAAAATTCAGAAATATGGAAATGCCAATGAATTTCAAAAGACAGGGAAAACAGAATTCAGAGCAGCGTACCTGAATTGAGTAGAGGAAACGCCACACAAAATTGGAAAGGATTGTTTGCGCTGACGCATATTGTTCTCAGGAAAACTATTCCGGCGATTGAATGAAGTGGTATAAGGGAGGAACCTGAGATGGCTTGGAAGCTGAATTTGCGTGGTAGAGCAGTGGAATGAACGTAAAGAAAGAGAATCCATTCCTAATTCTGCCTTTCTTGGAGTGCTTGTTGAAATTTGGAATAAAGGAATTGCTAGAGGAAGAAGATAAAGATGGAGATGGAGTTAAAATGGCCTTTTAAGTTCCGCCACATGGAGTCAATTATACTTCAATTTGACTGCAAATACTTCAATTATATTTTAATTTGAAGTCAATTATATTTTTAATAATTGTTGATGTTTTGCCTCCATCATCTTTTTAAGTACCCATTTTTTCATGGCATTTACATACCAAAAAAGGGTGTAACTTTTACTATTTTTATGTAATTACAATAATGATTAACACTACATAATCCTATACATTTAGATTCTAATAATAAGATTCTTTGTAACCCCTTTGTTTATAGGACATTAATTATTATAATCTCCCATTTAATGAGTGTTTATTCCTCATAACTTTTATTTTCTATTGGCCTATATATATAGAACTTATACTTTTGCAAATGAATGAAGATGGAAATGGAGATGTAAATAAATGAAAATGTATGGAGAACAAATGGAGTTAAAGGGAACTCCATCATGCGGTTTGATGGGTCACGCGCCTCAATAAAAAGGATAGGAGATCACTTGTTCTAAGGATTGAATTCCCAGTTGCTAACAATTTCTAACCTAATTACTAATCATTATCCTTATCCAAAAAAAAAAAAAATGAAGTTAAAGGGAAAAGAAATAAAATATATTTTTATATTGCCTCACTTTATCTTTTTAATTTCCCTTATTCTTCTTCTAATGGATTTTTTCTCTATTTTACGACAATAATAATATTTTCATATACATTTTCAATCTTATGAGTGTTTAGATTAGTTGTTCCAATGCAATTAATAAGTGATAATTAATATTTAATAATTAATAATTATTATTATTTATAATTTAAAATATATAAACTGTTCTTCAAGTTTTAAATCAAGCACTCCCTTATATTTTCAATAATAGAAAACAAGTTTAACCTAATAAAAATTATAATCAAGCCTATAAAATTAGACATGATTTTTGTTTTTCTCTACCCTAACTTAAAAGTAAAAACTAACAAAAATATTAACCTAAATTCGAATTCAACATTTAAAAATATGGCAACATGCTACCCTCCTTTCAAGTACAGTCATCTTGAGAATGATGAGTACGAGAATTATGGTGAGTCTTTGCATGTGCATCTTTAATATTATAATTTTAATAATAACTTTTTCTTTGAGTACAATTGTACCTAAACTTGACTTCAATTATTTGGATTACATTTCAATTTAAATTCAATTAAATTTTCAATAATGACCAGCCCGTTCTAGCTTAATGACATCCTACGTTAGAATCATTCACTTTCTATAAATAGCGTGTTTAAGTCCCACATAACCCTTTTTTCTTTTCCTTTAATTAATATATAAATAATTTTAATTTATTAAAAAAAATTATATTTTCAATAATAATATTTTCAAAAGCATTTTCATTATTATATTTTCAATAATAATTCAATTCTCCTTTTAATACTATATTACTTCAATTATATTTTAATCTAACTTCTAACTAAATTTTTATTTATATTCTACAATACACTAAAGAAACCTCTATTTAATGTGCATTCCTCTTAAACATAAAACCTCTGTTCAACTTGCCTTCCTCCTTAATTTGGTTTCTTTCAATTCAATATATCCTAACTCTTAAACTGTCACTACTTTGATTAAAAAAAAAAAATCCTATTCTAAAAATGTCGTGCATCCAACGAATTTAGATGCTATAGCCCCAACCAAACAAGCCACCAATGCGGTCTTGGTTTCCTGGGATCAACATTAACATAAGTTCAATTAATATAATTCTAATCTGCATTCAATGTATTTAATAACAACGTTTTGCGATTATTTTTCAATCTGTTTGATTTTATAATTTCAATAATATTTATATTTTAAAGTAAAGTCCTTATTTTATAATGTATTCCAAAAAAACTCTAATCTTTTTTATAGTTATTATAGTTGTTTTAGGGTGATTCTATATATGTCCACTGCAAGCAAGCAATTATTTTTTGACCTTTGCTCTACAAGGGACAGTTGTATGCCACTACAAATTTTAGTTTTGTGATTGAGTCTAGCTCTTAACCTATGGTTAGATCATTGAAAATTAAATTCAACAAAGCAACTTATGTGTTGGCAATCAATAAACGCAATATTAGTATTAAGAGTTATTTATTTAAATTTTTATTATGATTGAAAATTGTTCTCATCTTGAACCATGATATGTTTCTCGCTAGTAATACACAACTATCATTACATCAATTGACACATTGACATATTTTTATTAGTTTTTTTTATAAAAGATAAATTTTATTAATATAACTAGCAAAAAATACAAGATTGGAAGTAGAAAAAAAGAAGAAGCATGATTTAACCATCACTAATCCACCCAAAACTTGTCAAGATTTTTTAATTAAAATGATTTAGTAAACCAAAATAAATAGTTCAAGAAATCCTAGAACCATGAAACTATTAGTATGCTCCTAATCAAATTAAAACTATTTTATTAAAAGAGGAACTAATATAATTGTTATAGTGTGCCCTTGAGCCAACTCTATTTATACTTGTGATTATGACATTTATATGTATATATGAGACATGTATTTATCATATATTAATTGTTATTTTTCTATGTATATTAATATCGATAAAGTCCTCAAGATGTCTACTGCATCAAAAAATAATAGCAAATATGACTATTAGTGAAAACTGTAAGATGCAATAGCAACATTTATCTTAAATCATCCATTAGTCATATATGCCATTAAGATGAGACATTAACGATGTAAAAGACTATCATATGTGATACTTTGTTATATGGCAAGACTTTGTCATGAAGTTATGTATCACATGTGGATGACTTTAAGTGAGTGCATTGGATTGACTAGCCATAAGAACTCTACATGCATGTGTCATTAGTAACTTCTTAGCCATGATGTAAATGCAAGTGATCTTTTAACTTGATATTGTCATCATTCCATGTGAGAACTTATGTATTTTAATGCTGTTAAAAACAACCACTTCAAGGAGTTACAATAATATAGCTATTTGGTGTATCATAAATTGCATGAGTAATGAACCAGTAGAAATAAGATTTGTTCATCTCGAGCTTATAAGAGAAGCTATCTGTGGCTCTTTAATTGAGATTGGACTATTGCAAATCCATAGCCATAGTCATGGCAAGAATGAAGTTTCATTAAAAAAGAATGTCTCACTACCGAAAATAACTATTGTTCAGATCAAAAAATAGATCTGAAAATAGTGAATACTGGTTTGAATATATTTATTCATAACTTCATTGATATAGATATTTGGTCTAGAAAAACTTAATCTAAATAATTTTAATTTCAGACCAACAAAAAGTCAATTTAAATAAAATTAATTTTTAGACCGACTTTGATCTGTATAAAGGTTGACATTTTGACCGAGAACTAGCCTAAGCCAGACCAAAATCGGTCTAAATAATTACAATTTTCAAACCAGCAATGGTTTGAATATATGTAAATTTCATATTGAGAATGGTTTGAAAAATATTGACCTTATTTAGAAAAATGAAAAAATTCAATCCTTATGTGTTAGCATGTTGAAAAATTTTTGAACCAAGGTTAGTCTGAAAATTTGCGTCCTTATTTAGAAAAATGAAGAAGATTGGTCCCTAGGTGTCACTATGTTGAAACTATTTTCAAACCATTATTGGTCCAAAAATTGGTGACCTTATTTACAAAAATGAAAAAGATTGATCCCTATGTGTCACTGTGCTGAAACTATGTTCAAATCATTATTGGCCCGAAAATTGGTGGCCTTATTTACAAAAATAAAATGTTCAAAGTTACTCAGATCAACTGCGGTCTAAAATATAACTATCCAACAGTAAAAAAAATTATTTACTTAATATATTACATGTCTAAAAAATTCTCAAAAGAAATATTTTTTCTATATACAAATAGTTACACATTATAAATACTAAAAGTAATCTATTACATATTATATAATATTTACATGTATAATATTTATTAAATTAAAAATAAAATATACAATATATACAAAGTTAAAAATAAAACACCCCCCATAATAATTGAAATTATAAATAAAAAATAAAACAAAAAAATGATTAAATGGTTAAATATAATTTCAAAAAAACTTAATAAAAAACTATAATATATACTATAAATAACATAAAAAATAATAATCAAACCTATTTTTATACCTTGTAAATTTAATCATTTCCTACAAAAATAAATTAAATGGAATTGGTAAGATAAAATGGAATTAGTAAGATAAAATGGAAATAGAAAGAGCATTAAAAGAAAACAAATATATATATACATATATATAAGCATAGTTTAGGATTCACCCAACTTTTCATAATAACCTACAAAAAAAAATGTTAGTAAAACAAGAGAAAATAAAATTAAATCCACCTAATATCCCAAATTAGGAAAACAAAAACAAAAAATAAATTTAAAAACATAAATACAGAAAATATAGTCAAGAAGTACAAAGAAAAATGGAAGAAAGAAAAGGGAAGGGAAGGGAACAAAACAAGAAGAAAGAGGAAGAGTTGAAAAAAATGATAAAAAAAAGGGAACAAAGGGATAGGAAGAGAGGGGCAACACAAAGATGAGGGAAAGAAGAGAAATTAGAAGCATGAGAGAAAGAAGAAAGGAGAACCAGAGAGCAAACAGGGATGAGTAGAAGAATAGCACAGAGAAGGCAGATAAGAAAATTCAGTGGAGGAGAAAACAAGCATGGATATATAAAGGCAAACATATTTCAGACTGTAATTAATTCAGAATATATTAAATTCACATCTGCCACCCAGAATAAAAATTTTAAAGGCCACGAAAATTTTTGATAGTTTATTAATTCGGTAAAGTATCATTTTGGTCCCTCAATTTTTTACTTTGGCACTAAAATTGTCCCTTAACTTTAAAAAGTACTAAATTATCCTTAAATTTTCATTTTCGGTACCAAAATAATCTTTCGGTCAATTAAATAGACATGTGGCACATTAAAGTGCCACAGAATCACTTGATTTGTT